TTCCAATGTATTCTATTTTTTTTTTTTAAAAAGGCGATTCATCTGTATATGTAAGTTTGTACGAAAATAAATTAAAAATTTTATGATCTCAATTGTACTGTATATAGATTGGGACAAAAAAATCGTTACTCTAGATGTACAAGTTAAAAAAAAAAAACCAATTGATAGAACATCTAAATTTGCAATTATTACCTCATTATAAGTGACAAGATAATTTTGGGTTTTAGATATTTAATTATTGATTAAAAATGTATAATGTTTTTATCCAAAGTAATTTTAATTAATTTATTCATTTAAGAATCAATAAATAGTTAATTTAGGATGTATTTATAGAGAAAGTTTGCCAATTTTATCCAATAATAACAAATCACGAAGATGTCATTACATTCTCTTTAAATTTTATAATATATTTTTTTGAAAAAAAAGAAAAGAAGAGGAGCACAGAATCTACATATCGTAAACCATATAAATTAAATAATAATTAACAATCAAAAATATTTAAGACGAATATTTTAAATACTTTAATAAACATTAAAGTATTTAAAATTATTTTCTACTTGAGTAATTTGTACATTATTATTTTTAGTATAAATGATCAACTAAAATTATGTATATATAAAAAAAACTAAAATTATATATATAAAAGCCTTGCTGATATTTTACAAATTGTAACATTTTAGGGTCCAAATAGTTGTCTTTAATGAAATAAGTAAAATAAATATATATGAAATGTAGAGATTTTCGAAAAATGTCACTTTCGAATTTCATAGTTTTGAAATATTTACAAAATACCACTAATACTCCCTCCATTTCAAAATGTAAATTGTTTTAGAAGTTTTTTTTGTTTCAAAATGTAAGTTGTTTTGACAATACTAAATACTTTTTAACTTTATTGAATATTGTGTGATCACTAGTATTTTGCATTTTTTTGTGTGATTGGTCAAATTATTTTTATTAAATATATTAATGATACTTTTTAGTAGAAAAGTAGTTTCTTAATATTCACGCTTTTAGTTAAAACAACTTACATTTTAAAAGGTAGGGAGTATTATATTAGCTACTCAAAATATCATTTATATATGAGTTAACTATATTATGTTAAATTTTAGTTTTAAGGGTTTAGGTTTTGTTAGTGTCAAAATCTTTTTTAAAATTTAGAATTGTAAGTTTGAAAGTTAAAAAAATCTTTAGTTTGTGACAATTTTGAAAATATACAATTAATGATGACATTTTTGCAAATGGTATTTCAAAAGAAATATTTTTGCAATTGTCCTTGAAATTTAATTGATTGGACTAAACAATTTAGTTCTTATAATTCATTCAACCAATTATACTGTAAAATAGTACATGGACGTTTTTGTTTAGGGACTTTTGGTCTATGGGTTCAACCAGTAGAGAAAAAACCTTTTGCGAATTCAACAAACATGTAAAGCTTCTTAACATTTACACCAAAAAAAAAAAAACATGTAAAGCCGGGAAAACATGATTGGATAGTGTTTTCTGACGGCTTTCCAACGCTTAAAAAAAAAAAAAGTAGAAAAGAGACCACATGATGTAACGTGGATATATAAAGAATGAGTCAGAAAACGAGGAAAAATGGAAGAAAAATGATAGCGAGTCGAACAAGGGATGATTCACGGTATATTATATTGTTTAAGTAGAGAAAATTTTAAGAGTCAAATAGAGAAAATGCATAGTATTTTGGTGGAGAAAACGTTGAAAGACTACAAAAAGATGACCGAGATGGGCCAGAAAGACTACCTAGCATGGTCGGAAAAGATTGAAAGCCTAAGTCTTGAAGGATTAGTGTTTAGAACAATTAAGTTTAGAGATTTTAGCTGAAAGTGGAAGCCTAGTTTATGTATGAAAATAACATGGTATTTGTAGAGTTTTATCTATTCGGGATATGATACCGGTCTTCGCATCCATAGTATGGATCTGCTGATTTATCCGAGTATGCTATATTCGAATGTTTTTCATCTACCACACTGGTCTTCATGTGCTACCTGTCCGACAATACAATTTTGCCTTTATCGCATCGATCATAGCGCTTAAAGCGGCATGTTTGACGGTTGGTTGCTCCTCGGAATCAGCTTTATTTGTTCCGTGGAGCAAAGACCACTTGCTTTTTATCCTAGACATGAATAAAGTGAATGATATTTAACATTTGATCGAAGACATTCAAAAATATTTCATAGTTCGCGCTTGAAAAGAAAATTCGTACCTAGTCAATACGGAAATTTGGGTAATGCGCATTGCTTTTCGTGTATAGCAGCTACATGTACGACTGCCCACTCAATTTCCGGTCCAAATTATCACCAGTAGTGTGTCACACCATCCGAAATGAGAAAATGTTACATATGGCCTTATTTATCAAGTTACTTTTGAGTTTTTGTGTAGATTCAGACCGAAATACCATTAGAATCGGTCAAATAAACCAACTATACAAATAAAACTAAAATTGAGTGGAACCAACTATACAAGTTACTTGAGTTTTTGCTTAATCTCATCAGTTTTTGTTCCTTGTGGGAACCTTTTGCAATCTTATTAGTTTCTCAACGAGAAGAAATTCAAGCAAGTAATTCCGCCGGTGAAGATCGACGACGAAGCCGAGAAAATCACTGACGAAGAAGCGACCAATGCACTACGAAGATCAGTTCACTATTTCTCAGCGTTACAATCCAGCGACGGTCACTGGCCGGCTGAAATCACCGGTCCACTCTTCTACATTCCTCAGATGGTAAGTTTTATCTCTCTGATTGCAGTGTTCTTTGGATAAGAATTATAGATTGAGAGTATACAGTTGCGTGAGACCAAAGAAATTTACTGGAGGATGTTGTTGCAGGTGATCAATTTCTATATCACAGGACATCTCGATGAGATATTCAGTGGAGAGCATCGTAAAGAGATTCTTCGAAATATCTATTGTTTCCAGGTACAATGGTGCACTAATTCCAAAGGAAACATGAAACAATGAGTACTTGATCTTTAAATATGTTTGCTTCTTAGAATGAAGATGGTGGATGGGGATTACACACAGAAGGAAAGAGCAGTATGTTTTGCACCGCGCTGAATTACGTATGTTTGCGTATTCTTGGAGAAAAACCAGATGGAGTGGCGTGCAAGCTAGCCCGGAAATGGATTCTTGATCATGGTGGCGTAACATACATTCCTACTTGGGGAAAATTTTGGCTTTCGGTAAGATTATTTCAGACACTCTGAAAGAGAAATATTCGGACATTATTATTCAGTCGATTTGTGTGTATAGATACTAGGAATCTATGAATGGAGTGGAATCAACCCGATGCCTCCAGAGATCTGGCTGCTACCTTCTTTTCTTCCAATACATCTTGGTTTGTCTTTTCAATAACATTTTGGTCTTTGGAGTAATACATTTTCTGGCTTAACTTTTTAAAGACGCAAAAGCGATAATAAGTTACAATACAGGGAAATTTACCAACTTTGCCCGACTTATCTACTTGGTCATGTCTTACTTTTATGGGAAGAGATTTGTTGGTCCAATAACACCTCTTGTTCTGAAAATCCGTGAAGAACTCTACTCACAGCCTTATGATGAAATCGATTGGAATGCAGCGCGGAGTCTATTCGCAAAGGTTCGTGTTCTTTTTTTTTTGTTCTTTCTCTTCAGATTTGTTTTATATTGGTAGAATGTGCAACATTCTTATGTTTGGTCCTCGTAGGAAGACACGTATTATCCACATCCTTCTATTCAAGATTTCGTATGGGACAGTCTTCACATTGTCGTGGAGCCTTTGCTTACACGTTGGCCATTGAACAAGCTTGTGAGAGAAAAGGCTCTTCAGGTAGTGATGACATACATACATTACGAAGATGAGAATAGCCGCTATATGACCATTGGATGCTCTGAGAAGGTGAAAATACTAAGTAGTCCTTTAAACAATTCGATAAGATAACCAAGTGGGTTTTGGTCTAGTGGTTCTTGAGGGTACTCAAAGTCACTTGTTCAAGTCCACTTGGAAGGAGTGATTTAGGCCTTTAAAACGGTATTATCAACCGTTGGCACGGGCACTGATGGAGGGAGATAATGGGCTAAAAACTCGGAACTTTCACGGTTGATCCCAAAGAAAAATATTCGATAAGATATGTTAAGAATTATTAATAATGCAAGTCTGAATCATATATCTGTTTATTAGGCAATGTGCATGCTTGCTTGCTGGATTGAAGATCCAAACGGGGAATATTTCAAGAAGCATCTCGCTAGAATTCCGGATTATCTATGGATTGCTGAAGATGGGATGAAAGTTCAGGTATTTGTTTGAATTCTAAAGTCTTTTATTCTATGGATCCCCAAGATTCCTTGAGTTTCACATTTATGCAGAGCTTTGGAAGTCAACTATGGGACACATCACTTGGAATTCAAGCTTTACTTGCTTGCAACTTCTCCAACGAAATCTCCAATGTACTCATGAAAGGGCATGATTTTATTAAGAAATCTCAGGTATTTTACCCTCCTGACTCTGCATCATAGTGTTCTATAGAGTTTGTTGAATGTGTTTTTACCTAAAACAAAGAACTTTGCAGATTAGAGAAAACCCTTCGGGCGATTTCAAGAAGATGCACCGCCATATTTCCAAAGGAGGATGGGCTTTCTCTGATCCAGATCAAGGATGGCAAGTTTCAGATTGTTCAGCCGAAGCATTAAAAGTAAATCAACCAGTCATCAAAACAAAACAACTTAGCTTCTGGTTCTGAAGAAATCTTTGTCTCAATTAACACGCACAC